AGAGTCTTGGCTATTTTCTTTTAGAATATTAAAATGCGTAAATTTTCTAAACTTAGTGCTGTATGGTTCATATCAACAATACTGGCGTTCGTATTCCATATCTTAGCAATGACTCATAATAATTGGAAACATATACGTTGTAAAACATGTAATTCAACTACAAAATTACCAACATTTTACACCTCACTTTTGTCAAGATGTTATTCAGGAGCTACAATTCAATTTCCTGCTGATATACCTGCTCAGTTATGTATACCAAATAAGGCATTATATCCTCGACATATAACCAGGACGAATGTTTTCGACTGCCTTGTTGAATACTCAAAAAATCCTGATGCTGTATGTGCCACGCAGTCCTACACAAAAGATTGTTATTGTGATTATTCTCCAGTAACAAAAGTCATGTTAGCAACAACAATACTTTCCGCGATTGCAATTGGTCTCTCGATACCAATATCACATATTTTATCGGTATTACGTCTGGATTATGTGCCTAACTGGTTATACATAAGCTCAGTTACTCTTCTTATAATAGGATTCATATGTATTCTAATTTCTCTAATGTTAGTTGGTATATTTAGAACTGAGGATATTGCCAGTCTTATATTTTCAGTTAAATCACAAGAATATTTTAGCACAAATGGTAAGGGAACAGTAACATTTTGAAGTCAAAGAATTTTTAATATTCTAACATCAAATCTGAACTCATTAGAGAGGTTTTCATTATTAACTTTTACATGAAACACTGCTACGTTTGCACAACAACTTTTGCAACATCCGTTCTTTACGGACTAGTTTTTTGTGTCCAACAAGGATGCACTTACTGCTCGAAGGTCACAAGTGATAGAAATTCTTGTGAACATACAGTTAGAAGTAGACATAGATCTTGATAAAGTTGCGGTGCGACTTTGTCTTAACCAGACCTAGCGCAAGAATCTTTTCGGTATCTCTTTGTGATCTCTAAGTGTCCTACAACAATAATACTACTCGAAGAATATGCTGATTTGCAAAAACTAAGAGAACTTTCCGAATCAAGCAATTCATGTAAAATCAGTATTTAACATCGAAAATGTTAATAGATTCGGAAAGTTCTCCCGGTTTTTGCAAATCAGCATATTCTTCGAGTAGTATTATTGTTGTAGGACACTTCGAGATCACAAAGAGATACTGAAAAGGGTCTTGCGTTAGGTCAGCTTCAGGCAAAGTTTCACTTTCGTTCTATTAACTCAAAGACATGATCCTAACAATTTCATTATTAAAAGATCCATATTGTCATCCAATAAGCTGAAATAACACAACCCACGCAACTTTAAAGTTCAATAGCTAGTAATAACGGTAAAAAAGTTTATCTACAGCCATTTTCTCGAAAGTAGAAGATAATTTGACTTTTCGATTTTCAAAAGAGGCGATATCTGAACATTTTCTATAAATAATTCCCAACAATGTAGAAAATCGATATCGATTTAATAATTTGAAAAATCCTTGAGGATGTCATACATGGACTTTTTGAAAATCGCCGAGTATTCTCTATAAATAAACCCTGACTTTACTTGTATTGTTATATATCGCCGTAACTGATTTATTCTCAGTTGATTTTTGCAGAAGTATTCTAAAATTCATATTAATCTTCTCAGTTGACAGAAAGAAGTTTCATCTTTTAACAAGCACGCAATAAGACTCAAACTTTTCATAAACATTCTTCTATATAAATAAATAACATCTATGAAGTAACCGCATCTCTTACTCAAAAATTCTCGCCTGAGCTTCTCTTAAGTCAATCTTGACTGGAGAATTCTTATTTTAAATACTGTTTCTTTTTCTTATTTAATAAGTAGTTTAAATTATGTGGACTGAAATTAAACTAGAACTGTGCCTCTAAATTTCTTCTTAAGATTAGAAATGGTTTTGACCAGGTTCTATTTTGTTTCAAGGTTCGAGTAGTTCATGAGGTCTTATGATGTTTGCGAAGAATCTTTCCGGTGTCCTTTATCTTTTAAAAATTATTTTGTTATATTAACTAAGAACAATAGTATAGAAAACATGATTAGAATTTATTTTTAGGTACACTATCAATCAATCGAAGTATCGTAAACAACCTGAATGCTTTTCGTACATTCAACTTTGACGTAGGCTTGGGCTATTCTGCTGCACTGGAGTCATTGGCATTAATTTTGTGTTTTGCTGCTTTGATTAGTAATATCGTCTTTTGGGTCGAACGTATTAATCCACGACCTGTGAAAGTGGTTCAACATGAACAAGAGGAATAGCCATATTATAAGAAGACATTCAAAATATAAAAACATTCTACACTAAGCAAGAATGATATATTTATGTATATTCAAAATGTAAAACTTTTGTATTTCTACAATAAAATCAATATCAAACATTAAGACTGGACTGATTCTGGTAAATGATACTCTATATACTAGTACCTACATATCAATAGTATGAAAATATACGCAACTCAGATATGCTTGTCGTTTTGTTTAGAGTAGTATACGACGGCTTAATCATATTCCATGTTCTTTCTTTTGGATAAAATTTTTATTTTGAGTCGAACTTTGTCTAATGTAAAGAAAACCCTACACTACGAAACAAGACCATGTCCAGTCACTTTCCATGACCTTTTTTTGCACAAGTTATGAATTTTTAAGTTTTTACGCGAAACCCTAAACAGCGTCAATTTTTGTAGTTTTGCTAATTTCTTTTTGTTTTCAATACCTTCGACATTCCACATTCGCGGAGATATCTCCACAAGTACCTTGCAGAAAGTGACCAGTTTACTATTATTTGTAATGATCATAACACTAGTGGGTTCACTCTAGTCACATTACGATCGGTCAAAAAAATGATCCGATCGAATCCTAGTTTTACCAGAAGTATTTCAGATCTTATCTCAGGTTCAGGTACGTTTAAAGCGTTCAACTTCGACTTTCATCATGAGAGGTCTTTAAAATCAAAAACCGTCCTTTTACTTTAGTAGTAAAAACCGTTTTTTACTACTCCTTTTACCATTTTACACAGGACACTTTGGACTATCTACCTATGAAAAAAAATCGATATGTTTTAGTTTTGAGAGATACGAAGTGATTTTCCAGGGATTCTTTGAAAATCCGATCTTTGAAATTTTTCCGAAACCAGTTTTTGCTTATACAAATATAGCTTAATGTATTGGTTATCGAATGTTGAAAGGCGCTTGCTAATATCTTGCGTGGTTCACGACTTATAAATAAATTTAACTCAAACAAAGATCGGGAATGAATGGGTTAAAGTCAAAATTCGTCCTTTTACTTAGAATTTTCAGCATTTTTTTGAATACCTTGAGAAGAGGAGCATACTTTTCGAGAAAAAAATCAAAACCTAAGGGGGTCTGAAGTATCTGTGGATATAAATTCATACTCGCTCAGACCCGCTCTTCAACCTTTTCAATAAGATGAAAAAAGAGGGAGACACCCTTAAATAAATGCAGATCCGCGAGAGACATTTTTTCACTAAGTCCATCTTTTGCTTGTTCGAGTCTGATGTACGGCATACTGTAAAAAATAATGCAACTTCTAGTAGTATACCAAAAACGGATCCCATTAGCCATATTTTAGTGACTCTTCTTTAAGTCGATTCGATGTACTGTCTGGAAAAGATACATAAGAGTAGACTGAAATAGTATTTTCATTTTTACAATCATTCAAAATTTTGTGACCACAATACGAGAAAATGTAAAGTAACTTTGATACGAGGTAGTGTTAATGCTGTTGATAATATGATAAGGAAATCATACTTAATTTTAATTTCGTTTTCCTCGTAGAATTATATTTTATTTTACAAATTTATTTACAACTGCTAAACGTTTCGAAGTCTAAACCAACTCCTTCTTCAATAGTACAAATTATATGAATAACAAGTAATTACAGAAAAGAACACACTATATACGAGAACTCATTAAAAATGTGCGCGAAGGATGTTCAACAGCTACAAATAGTGATGTATAAAAAGATGATGTTTGGAAATTACACTTATTGAAATCCAGAAATCAGAGAGATATGACATACATCTAAAAAGAAATGTGAGAAATAAATAATAAGTACAGTAAAAGATGATAAGATGATGATTGTGAAAGTTACAATTGAATATGCCTAAAGATGAACAGCTAAAATGCCATGTTGACTGACATTGTGATGAATAGATGAAATAACAGCTGTACAAAAGATGAAAATTAAATAATAAGTACAATTGTCAAAAACCAACACAAAATTATTTACTGGTTAAAATTTATATTTCGCTCGTGGTTGTGCTCTTAAACTATATTTGCCTTGTTGTTGTAATTCTAAAACTACTTGTTGACTAACTATATTATGACTATTAGGATGACTATTATTATTTGAATTTATTATTTTTGTTTTTGTTCTAAAAAGACTACCTAATTTTTCCCCTATCCATTTACCGATACTAACTTTCCATTCATTACATATCATTCGTTTATTATTATATGATTTATTTGCTATTGAATAAACTGCGACTAATACTTTTCTACGATCTTTATTTTCTTCTCTATCAAAAATTAAACTTTTCTCAAATTGAATACGACAACTACTGTTACTAACTAACAAATGTTGAACTATTTCTGATTCATTAACGCGATGATATTTGACATTACTCATATGTTGTTTGTAACGTCTCTCAAAATCTTCCGTTTCTCCGACATAGATGTATCCACATCTGTCTGGTATACCATAAATAGCATTTTTAGCAAAAACAGAAGAATCTTTCTTCTTAGCACCAAGCTTATTGCGCGGAATTAATTTGGTTTTATTTAAAATAGAATCAATACTTTTAGAGTGTTTTTGTAAATGTTTTAATTTGATGTTTTCTTAAATCTCTTTTCAAACGTTCGGTGATACCATTCAAATGAGAAATTACAACTATACCAGAACTCTGTTGATTATTGTTAACATTATTACTTCTAATTAAATTATCATTAAATTCTTTTTGAATCCTATCTTTAATATTTTTTGGAAATTGACTATGTTCTAAAATTTTTTCCCAATGATTTAAATCTTTTTCATTTTTATGACCATTGTTGGCTATTAAAACACGATTTGTCATATTTTTAACGATATTATTTTTCATTGCTAAATTGTGATTCGAATGAAAATTCAAAAGGTAGTTTGATGTTATTTCGTTTCGAAACCAACCGGTTGTGAAATTTTTGTTTATTTTGTCAATTGCTATTAAAACATCTAAAAATGGTATTTTATTATTTTTCTCGAATTCGAATGTAAATTTTAAATTTGTCGTTTTACTATTCAAATCTTCAACTAATTCTTTTACTTGATCTTAAAACAATACCAATAATAACAAATAATCCTGAATCGCGTATCTTTTCTTTATAATTTGCCAGACTCAAGATCCATAAAAGATACAAATCCTTTTATGAAGTCTGCCTTACAACCGATGAAGCAAAATCTTTTCCTGCTTCTCATTTTAGCCCACATAAAGAAGTAAGTATTGTTCTTTCAGAAAAAGCTCCCTTAGTCCAATTTTTCTCCAATTATTACAACCATTCGTTTCCTTTCTATATATAAAAATAGAATCGTTAAATACCCAAATTATAAGCAAACATAATATCATTTCAATTAAAGAGACTATCCTTGGAAAATAATTTTGTTTTGCACAGGCAAAGTTTGAGTAAAAATATGATACAATTTATAGCAGTTTTAAGTCTGTATTTCGAAACATCACATTATGTATAATAATGAATTAAAGTGACTAGACTTAAAACTGCTGTAGATTGTATCATATCTTGGAAAAATAGATATTCCATTTGCAACTGAAATTTGAAAACGCTTTAGTACAGGTCAAAAACCCCTTACTAAACTTTTTAGAGGGTTCTGAAAACAGCAAATATACGGAACTTAAAAAGGGTTTAGTATAGGTCAAAAACCCCTTACTAAACCTTTTAAAGGGTTCCGTATATTTGCAGTTTCTCGAGCCCTTTTTAGGTTTAAAAAAAATGCCTATTTTTTTTTAGAGAGTACTGTATGTGAAAGCAGAAGGTGCTTGAGGTCTTGCACTAAGTAAATTCGTTTGAACGTGTTAGTCATTTGAACGCGGCAAAATGAGTTTATTTTCACAGCGGTTTAGCGCGTCAGTTTCTGACGCAGTCAAACTCGTTTCAAACTAACGTATTTAAACGCGTTTATCACCTATTAACGCGTCCAAACACGTTTCAGCTGTAAGAAAACGCGTTCAGACACGTTTTTAGTGCAAAAAACGCGTTTGGTCTAAAAAAATGTCTGCCCGGGGACCTTTTGAAAATCGCCGAGTATTCTTTATAAATAATTCCTGACTTTACTTATAGTGTTGTATATCGCCGTAACTGATTTATTCTCAGTTGATTTTTGCAGAAGTATTCTGAAATTCACATTAATCTTCTTAGTTGATAGAAAGTGGTTTCATCTTTCAAGAAACACTCAATCAGACTCAAACTTTTCACAAACATTCTTCTATATAAATAAATAACATCTATAAAGTAGCTGCATCTCTCACTCAAAACTTCTCGCCTGACCTTCTCTTAACCATTTGCCTACCCCGGGGTCACCCATGACCCATTCGTAGAATTGTTATAAAACGATAATGAAGCATGTGAGAAAAAATGGATTGCTTTTGAGAGCAAGATAATTCTATAAGCTATCGATCGATAAAAAACGATTTTCTTTTTCATCAACTTTTGGCGAAGATATTTCAATGAGAAAATAAAAAATTTTCAAAAAAAGTGAAAAATTTTCAAAAAAATTTTCTCGGCTTTTATTTTGTATTTAAGAACTTTTCAGAAACATTTTATTGTCGATTGATGTTTAGTAGACTGTTGCCTTTCCAAGCAAATAGAATCGGCTGTTCTTATGACGTGAGAAGTGCTTACAAGTAAAGGAGTCATCCATCACCCATTGGTCGCGAACGATATGAAAATGTAATATATTTAAAAGCGCCAAATAAAAGGTTCTGTTATGGCACCAAAAATTATTGATGTTTACAATAGGCATATGAGAGGTGTAGACAAGGCGGACATGTTATGTGCATTACATCCTATTCCATTTAGAAGTAAAAAGTGGTATATACGTATAGCATGGAGATTGTTTGATCGAATGGTAATAAATTCTTGGCTTTTGGCTAATCATCTTGGTAAACAAAATGTGAATTGGAAAAATTCGCGATTGTGTGACTTTAAAACAGAAATAGCTTGTACTTTATTAAAAGGATCAGTAGCTTTACAACGACCTGCATTAGTACCTATACAAAGGCGTCAACATTCAGGCTCAGATACTGACGAAAATAATCGATCTAAATCAGATAGAAAAAAGCGAGATTTAACTAGAACTATACCGCGTATATTACGATATGATGGTAATGAACATTGGCCAAAATTTGTAAAATCAAGATTACGTTGTAAATATGAAGAATGCGAGTTGAAAACGCAATGGACATGTTCTAAATGTGAGCTACATTTATGCATTCAACCACAACATAACTGTTTTGTAGCTTTTCACACGAAACAATAATCTAGAAAAAATAAATTTAATTGTATAATTGTATTGTATATAAATTTAGTTGTATGAATGCTCAATATAATTTCTAATAAAAATATGTTTGCTATAAAATAACAACCTAATTGTACAAGAGTACGTTTTTTATTTTTGTAGTTTTTTCTTATTGTTCGCTACTAATGGGTCATCGATGACTCATGGTATTGTTCAATATTGGTGCAACTTTGATTTGATTTAACCTTAAAATTGACATATTGTACTACTCATTGCTTTATTCTACTAGTTAGTTTGCCGTCAGCTTTTATACATCAATGGTGGTAGGTAAAGGGCTAAGTCAATCTTGACCGGAGAATTCTTATTTTAAATACTGTTTCTTTTTCTTATTTAATAAGTAGTTTAAATTATGTGGACTGAAATTAAACTAGAACTGTGTCTCAAAATTTCTTTAATAG